GGCTCATCCTACCTTCCTGTAAATGCCTATTTAAACTTTAAAACCTAATGTGTCCCAGAGCCCAACAGGGGTCCCCAGAGCTGTGGTACTGGGATGGAAGCTCAGGGCTTGGCAGTGACAAGCACTGTCACTGAACTGCATCCCACCTACTCTTTTTCTTTTTTCCAGAAACAGGGTCTTACTATGTAACTCTCTCTGTCCTGGAACTTGCTATGTAGACCAGGCTGGCTTCAGACTCAGAGATCTACCTGCCTCTACCTCCTGAGTGCTCGGATTAAAGGCGTAAGCCACTACCTTCATCTCCACTTTCTACTTTTTATCCTGAGTCAGTTTCCCTAGCTTGTCCAGTGGAGCTTGAGCTCACTCTGTAGCCCAGGAGAGCCCTGAACTTTCCATTTATCTACTTTAGCCTCTCGTAGCTGGCATTATAGTTTCTATGTCACTGGCTCAGAAGAATACGTGTTCTTTTTTCCTTTTATGTGTATGTATGGATACCTGCATGCATGTATGTGTACCATGTGCAGCTGAATGCAGGCATAGTAGACTAGTCATGGCCTTGACAGACTGAGGCAAGCCAGCTAACTCCCCAGCTACGTGATGGTGATACTAGATAAGACACTTCATCACTGTGTACTCCTGAAACCTCTCTTCATTGAGGTGTAGAAATTTGAGCGAAGCCGGGCGATGGTGGCGCACGCCTTTAATCCCAGCACTCGGGAGGCAGAGGCAGGCGGATCTCTGTGAGTTCGAGACCAGCCTGGTCTACAAGAGCTAGTTCCAGGACAGGCTCCAAAGCCACAGAGAAACCCTGTCTCGAAAAACCAAAAAAAAAAAAAAAAAAAAAAAAAAAAAGAAAAGAAATTTGAGCGAAAACTGAGGCTAGGGAACAGTGCTGCTTCACCTGAGTCTGGGTGTCTAATGAAGCAAGGGCCACATCTGCTGTCTCCCTACACACACCCTACCTGCTGGAGGAAAAGGATGACTTGCCGAGAGCTCTTTAGCCAATGTGGAGTGTGAATAAGAAAGGCCCCCACAGGCTCATATATGGAATGCTTGGTCCCCAGTTAGTGGACTCTGTGGGAAAGGTTAGGAGGTGTAACCTTGTTGGAGGGGGCGTGTCACTGGGGCAGGCTTTGGGGTTTCAAAAGCCCACACCATTCCAGTTAGCTTTCTCTGCTTTGCGGTTGTTGTCTCAACATGAGCTTTCAGGTATTGCTCAGCACCATGCCTGCCTGCCTGCTGTGCTCCTGGAACCATGAGCTCACGAATAAGACACTTTCTTTTATAAGCTGCCTCAGTCCTATGTCTTTTCACTGTAACAGAAAAGTAACTAAGACAGCTAGGAGGGGGCAAAGTCCTGGTTTACAGTCAATAAGCCAGGTCCAGAGCCTGGTTCCCAACGTCTAGAGGTTGTGGCCCCGTAAGGACAGCGCTGGCTGAAGCCTGTAAAGCTGGCAGGGGTCTGATTTCCAGGCAGTCATCCCAGCTACACTGCTGTCTGAGAAGTCACCTGCCTGTGTGGCACCCAACAGACAAACACGGACCGGTACCGTGCTCCACCTGCCCACAGCCTGGCCGAAGTCCACTCACCCGAAGTGAAGGCAGGCTGGACAGCTCCCCGTGTAGCGTAGTCAGGTTGTTGTGGCTCACAGACAGGTGCTCCTGGACGAGACAAGAGCCAGAGGCTCAGGGGGGTACCTAAGATGTGCAGCTCCTCTGTCCCTGTAACTCTGCCCCATGCCAATAGGTCCCTCTCCTTTACACACCCTCAGTTTCCCTGTTTACCTCCTAGGCCGTGTGTCCACTCCCACTCCAGATCTTTCTGTGTTCTCTCCATGTGACTAAAAGCAGGGTATGCCCACCAGGCCCAGCCGCAGTGACAGGGACCCTACCTGCTGCCCACTATCCTTACCAGCTTCTGCAGAGCCGCCAGTTCTTCAGGCAGGTAGCAGAGGCCTGTGCGGTTCAGCTTTAGCCATCGCAGGCTGGTCATGGCCTTAACATTCTCAGGGAAGTAGCCACCCTGGTGGGAGCAGGCATGGTGAGGACAGTGAGGGAGAGGGGTCCCCATAGAGTCTAGAGGCCAGACTGTTTCTTACTCACAAGATTGGAGGAATGTCTCTTCTGCTGCTGGAGTGTCCCAAGCAGGCCAGAATAGCCTGCTCTGTTTCAAGGAATACCCAGCAGTCCACTCTGGTTAGTGGCACTCACTTCCACACAGTTTGGGGCTATCTGGGTAGGATTTCCCCTGACACGACCCAGATTGCACTAAGAGCCCAGCTCCCCACCATTCCTGGTACAATCTCTTCATTCATTCCTTATATGGAATGCCCATTTCATCCCCCACCCCCCTTGGCCATTTTTTTTTTAAGATTTATTCATTTATATGCCTGCTGGCCAGAAGAGGGCACCAGACGTCATTACAGATGGTGGTGAGCCACCATGTGGGAATTGAACTCAGGACTTCTGGAAGAGTAGCCAGTGCTCTTAGCTGCTGAGCTATCTTTTTTTTTAAAAAAATATTTATTTATTTATTATGTATACAATATTCTCTGTGTGTGTGTGTGTGTATGTCTGCAGGCCAGAAGAGGGCACCAGATGGTTGTGAGCCACCATGTGGTTGCCAGGAATTGAACTCAGGACCTTTGGAAGAGCAGGCAATGCTCTTAACCACTGAGCCATCTCTCCAGCCCCCTATCTTTTTTTTTTGAGACAAGGTTTCTCTGTGTAGCCCTGGCTGTCCTTGAAGCCAGAGATCCGCCTGCCTCTGCCTCCTGAGTGCTGGAATTGAAGGCATGCACCACCACCCCACCACCGCCCAGTGGCTAACCCTGATCATCTGAGCAGCGTGAAGCTTAATTGCCTTCTGTTACTGTCTCCTCCTTCAGCCACATTCCCCAAGGTGACTCAGACGTTCCCAGCCCAGAGAGGACACACGGAGGGGAGACCCCAGGTGGAGATGGTGGGGATGTGGACAGGGCAAAGCAGTGACAATGGTGTGCTGAGTCAAATGTTCGTCCATGTGCAGGCAAACTCAGGAGGAGCCCACCTCCTCCCCCTTAGCGCCCCAATCTGACATCTAAAGGGATGCCAGGCCTCTGAGCTGCCCCTCCAGTCCAGCTTTCCTCTCCCCTGGGCTCACAATCAGTCTGCTTCATTATTATTATTATTATTTTCAAAGCAGGGTTTCTCCGTGTAGCTATGGCTGTCCTGGAACTCTTTTTGTAGACCAGGCTGGCCTCAACTCAAAAGAGCCACTTGCCTCTGCCTCTCAAGTGCTGGAACTATAAGCGTTTGCCACCACGCCCATAGTCTGCCTCTTCCTTGACTATCAAGAACTTGGGTTGCCGATGACCAGTGCCCTGGCCCATCAGTCTAGCAGCTGCGCAGACACACCGCGGAGGACCTCGCACACCTGTCAGACACCTACATACTAACAGATCCCTTTCCATTCCACGCCTCCAAACAGGCTGGTCCAAAGGGGCAGGTGAGAACCCCAGGGCTGCCAGAGGAGAAGCGACTGGCCCGAAAACACAGGGTGGGGCTGTAGCCGGCTAGGGCGTGTGCCCTCGGTGTCACGGGCTCGGGCGCGAGACCCGCCAGGCCCCTCTCCTGGGCCACCCCGGTCCCCCGAGCCCCGGCTTCGGTCTTCCGCCGCGGGCGGGGCAGGCCCGGGAAAACTCGCCGAGGCCCGCCCGCCCCGCCCGCCGGTCCCGGAAGCGCAGAGGGCGCAGCCCAGAGGGACGGCCTCGGGGTCACCCTCCTACTACCCCCCGCCCCCCGTGAACCTTGAAGTCGTTGCCGCTGAGGTCCACGCCGCGCACGAACGGCAGCACCCCGGTGGCCTCCATGGTGGCGCAGCTCTCGGGCGGGCAGGGAGGACGCTGGGCGGCCGGCAGCCGCGGGCTGGGTCAGCGCCGGCCCCGCCCCTTTAACCCGCGCGCGCCTCCTCCCGGCCGCGGCCTCTGCCGGAAGGGCGGCGCGGCGGCTCCGGGACCTCTAGGCCTCGCCCGGCCCAGACTTCTCGCGAGCTCGGGCACCGGAGAGGCCTGCGGGGCTCTGGTACTCCCGCCGGAGGCGTCCGCCACCTCCGTTGTCCTGTCGCGGCGTCGAGGATGGGCTCCAAGCACTGTTGCTTGGGCGGCTGTAGTCTGGGAAGCGGGCCGTGACCCCGGAGAGATCACGGTGCCGACGTCAGGGGCGCAGGCGGCTTGTGGGTGACAGATCGGCGGTAGTGAGACTTCCGGGTCTTTGGGGCTTAGCCCTTGTGTTTCTGGCCTCAACTTTGCTCCTGGGTGACATGCTTCCCAGAGCTGTCGGGAGCAAATGGGCTCTCAACGTGTGGCAGTTTAAAGACCACGGTGCACAAACACTTTAAAATAATAGCGAAGCTATGTGTTACTCTCGCCTGGCACCAGGACTCCCGCCACTGCTCTTTAGTGGCTTGTTTCTGGCCCTAGAAGACCCGGCGTCTCTCTGGGGCCAGGCTGTCAGTGCCTGGCTAGCACACGGTAGGTTTCCCATAGGCAGACATGGCTGTCCTATGGCGTTCAAGGGTCTGGCCGCCGGTGTTACAGCAGGGAACACGGGGCTGGTAGGGTTCGCACGACAGATGGCAGAGCTCTTTAGCTCTTTGGCTGTGCGGTTCCGTCTGACTGGCTCACCTGGGCCGGGACAGCGCTCTCCACACCGAGGCTTCGAGCACAAGTACACACAAGGTCAGACCGGAGGCTTAGGCGGAACTGCCGAGAATTCGAGATCAGCCTTGGCTTCAGTGGGATGCCCTTTGGCAACAACAACAAAAAGTAAATGAATTAGATCAGGCCCTGAATAACTGTCACTCCCTCATATACAACCCGCCCCCCCCCCCATTTTGTGCAGACAGCATAACCTTGTCCCTTTAAATCCGGAGAGCGCCGTGGTTCCCGCCCCCGACGGTCAAGGGGCGTGCCTGGCGATCATTGGCTGAGCTGCGCAGTTTTGAGCACGTGTGCGCACGAGTTGTGCTCTCGGATTGGAGCGAGGGCTTGCTCATCCAGAGTGCCTTTCGGGTCACCTGCCGCCCCGGGGCTCGGCGTTCGGTTCCCGGGCCTTGCACGTTCCATTCCCAGGCAGGTCCTGGGGCTCCAGGATCCTACTCGCTGCGTCCTCGGGTCGGTGTGTTCAGGCCGGGACGCAGGTACGGCTGCAGCGCGCGGGGAGGCCCGGGGTCTCCCAGCCCTGGGCGTGACACGCGTCCCTTGGCAGGTGGAGGCGTGGCTTGTGGTCGCATCGCGGTGGGAGGGAGGATTTAGGTACTGAAGACCTGAGTTCGAATCTTAGCGTTGGCCCTTCCCCACTTGGGTATAGCACATGATTTCCATGGCCTCAGTGATGTCCCCCTTGAATAGAGTTTAAGAGCCGTTTATGCGTGATTACACCTTTCTGCTCAGCCCTGATTCATCCAGGACAATCGGTTTTGGCCCAAGAGGAAGGACAGATAACCAGGCTATTTTGTTATTTTTGTTTTGAGCAGGGTCTTTATTATGTAGCAGCTCTGGCTGTCCTCCAACTCACGAGGTAGATCAGGCTTGCCTCGAACTCACAGAGATCTGACTGCTTCTGCCTCCTGAGTCCTGTGATTAAGGTCTATACCACCACCCTGGGCCTGCGTTGGTTATTTTCAATCACCCATTTTATTCCCTCCTGCCCGGAGTTCGAATACAAGACCTTTCCACATGCAGGGCTGAGGCCCACTTTAGACAGGTGATGGAACGGAAGCCCCTTTCAGTTCTCAGAGTGGGATCCTGGTCTGAGGGCAGTGGTAGACAGTAATGGAGGAGGAGAAATGGCTTCTGAGATTACCATAGGCCCCCTGGCTGGCCTTTGACCTTGCCAGGCCCCAGGACAGGGTCTTATTTTTAGTCTGGGAGAGCAGACAGCTGTCCGTCCCAGCTGAGTCACAAAGTACCTCAGGGTTCAGCTACTCCCGGCATCTTGTCACTTGGCAACTGGGTCCCAAGGCACCCATGGCCCCGAAGGGAGGGCTGGGGTCTTTGGTGTCCCAGCAGGCAATGACCTTCTGGCTTAGTGGACTGGGCCCTGGGAATTTCTATTTCCTTTCCCAGGTTCCTGACCCCGTCCAGCTTTCCTTACTGGTGCTCTCGTGCAGAAAAAAACAGAAACCCTGGCCTATGGGCCTCCCTCTCACCTTCCCATCCCCAACATTGTTCTGAGTTTAAGGGCCTGGCCAGCTTCTCCTCATTCAGTGGGCTATTTTGGGTTACTTTGCTCACCACTGGACCATGGGGCCTTTATCCTTGACTTGTACATGCCCTCAGCTTGGCATCTAATGGGGTCACCCTGCCTCTGGAAGTTTTCCTGTCAAGATTTGGGGGAGGGACCAGTAACTGGATCCCTAAATTTGCTGAGGATCTATCAAAGGTCCGACAGGTCCCACCCAAACAGGCTTTCTGGAAACCCACATTGCAAGTCTTTCTGGGGGCTTTGGGCTCCTCCTGACAGGCGGTCACACAGTGGCTGTTGTGGGTGGGTCTGGATTCGGAGTCTAGAGCATGACTGGGAGCCATGGGGAAGTAGAAATACCCAGGCTTTGCAAGTGGATGAGGCTGGAAGTTGTGTTTTGAGCCCCAAGCTGTAACACTCACTCTGTTGGCTTGGCAACTTGTGTTTGTGTAGAGTAAGGGTAGCGATGGGGAGACCTTTTCTCAAGGTCTTGGCAGATGTCAGAGACTTTGGAGGGTGAAGCCAGGAAAGAGGCTTGAAGCCTTCCTGTGTGAGCCCCCTCCAGAGGGGGGAAGCGTGCGGGTTTGAAGTAGGGGCCTGGCAGTTCCCTTATTTCCGTCTAAGGAACCCTTTGAGCAGCCCCTTTCTCGTGAGGCCCCAGGAAACACCGTCTTGATTATTGCTAAGCATCTATGCATGTTGGCCCTACCAGTCCGGCTGTCCTCTCCCTCAGCAACACACCCCTGCCTCTCTTGCAGGCGACCATGGCAGAGTTCTCACAGAAGCAGAGGAAGCAGCGTGGCAACGAAGGCCTGGGCAGTGTGGTGGACTTCCTCCTGGCTAATGCTCGTTTGGTGCTAGGTGTGGGCGGGGCTGCAGTGCTAGGCATTGCCACCCTGGCTGTAAAGCGGGTAAGGCCAGGCTGGCAAAGCCTGCCTGAGACCTCCACAGGAGGAGGTGGGACTGGAGAACTGGGGGGTGGCGGGACTTTTTTGTTGTTTTGTTTTGTTTTTTAAGACAGTTTCTCTTTGTAGCCCTGGCTGTCCTGGAATTCACTCCAAAGACCAGGCTGGTCTGGAATTCACAGAGATTTGCCTGCCTCTGCCTCCTAAGTGCTGGGATTAAAGGCGTGTGCTACCACCGCCTGGCGGTGGTAGGACTTTTTGAGGCTGGACTGGAACAACACGGGCCCCCTCCTTTTTCACTCTAGCTTCCTGGTGTGCTCCCCCCCAGCTTTGCCACGGCTCCCGATGCTCTGATCTGTGTCACTTTGCCTATAGCTCATCGACAGGGCCACTAGCCCTCGGGATGAGGATGACACCAAGGGGGACAGCTGGAAGGAACTGAACCTGCTGAGAGCCACATCACACCAACAGCCCCAACCCCCCCCTGCTGCCCTCAGTCAGCCCATACCTCTTGTGTCCCCCTCACCCTCTGTCCCAGGTGAGCGGTACTTCTTCCTAGCCAACGTGGTGAGTCCCGTGCAGGAGATGCAATCTTCACAAGGTTTTGCTCCTCTTTGGGTTGGGTGCTCCTCAGGTGGTCCATAGGTATCGTAGGTCTCTGTTTCTCTTTTGTGCTAAGGATAAAAACCCAGAGCCTCCCAGATGCCAGGCCAGTACTCCACCACTGAGTCGCTCCACAGCCCTGGGGTCTTTGATTTATCTGTCTGTTTTCGACCATAGCAAGCTCGCACCATATAATGGTGGAGAGCCTCAGATGGGCAAACTTAGCCTGGAGAGATCAGGATATGTCTTCCCCATTCTCCGTGAAGTTGTTTTAGTTGTAGGGGCCAAAGTGTTGGGACTCTGGGCCAGCGGGACTTTGTCCTCATGTCCTCACTGTCCTAAGGACCTGAGCTCAGGGCTTTCTCAGTGACCGTCACAGGTGAGGAGGAAGCCCAGTGCGGCCATACAGCTAGTGACCAGGTAGTTTTCCTAACTTGTTAAGGGACCTTCTGATGTGTCCTGGATGCTTCCCTCTGCAGTGGAGCCCACAGCCGCTCATTCTCAGACCACACCGACGCCTCAACCCAGCTCCCTAGCACCTTTGTGCCTGACGTTGCAGGAGAAGCTGCTGGCATTTGAGCGCAACCGCGTGACTGTCCCAGAAGCCCATGTGGCTTTGGTGAAACAGCTGGCTGGAGACATTGCCTTGGAGCTGCAGGCCTACTTGAGGAGCAAGTTCCCAGAACTGCCCTTTGGTGCACTGGTGCCAGGCGGGCCTCTCTACGATGGGCTACAGGCAGGGGCTGCTGAGCGTGTGCGCCTGCTAGCACCCCTGGAGTTAGAACCAGGGCTGTGGAGCCTGGTACCTGGCATGGACACTGTGGCCAGGGAACCTCGGTGCTGGGCTGTGCGCAGGACCCAGCTTGAGTTCCATCCCCGTGGGCGCAGCCCATGGGACCGCTTCCTGGTCGGGGGTTATCTTTCCTCCCGTGTCTTGTTGGAGCTGCTACGGAAGGCTCTGGCAGCCTCCGTCAACTGGCCAGCCATTGGTAGCCTACTTGGGTGTCTGATCCGGCCCAATGTGGCTTCTGAGGAGCTGCTGCTGGACGTGCAACATGAGTGTCTGGAGTTTTCTCTAGCTGTGCTCCTGGTGGTCCCTGGGGCCAGCACTGATGGTCGCCTTCTGCTGGCGTGGCCCCTGGAGGGGCTGGCTGCCAATCTCTGGCTACAGGATCTATATCCTGTAGAAGCTGCCTGTTTGCGGGCCCTGGATGACCAAGATGCTGGCGCTCGCCGGAGGTTGTTGCTGCTGCTATGTGGTGTGTGTCGTGGCCATCCGGCTCTGGTGCGACTGGGCTGGAGCCACCTGACCCAGGTGGTTCTGCATCTGGGTAAAGAGGAAGTAGCCTGGACCGAGGAGGCCTTGGGGGATCGCTTTCTGCAAGCCCTGGAGTTTCTGGTGGGCAGCTTGGAGCAGGCTAACCTGCCCTGTCACTTCAACCCCAGTGTGAACCTCTTGGACAGTTTTCGGGAAGAGGAGATCGATGACATTGGCTATGTACTGTACAGTGGTCTGCAGGTCCCTGAGAGCCTACTCTAGGTAGATGAGGCCCATCATTGACTTGTTCTTCTGATGCTGGAGAGCAGCAGCTACCTCCCTCCAGGGACACTGCAGAGTGTGGTTTGCTTTATTTTAGCCAGAGTGGAGGGGAGGATGCATTACCTAAGCCTGTGGGTAGGCATGTGCCTGGGTGATGGTGACCAGAATTCCCAAATCCAGAGAGTCTGGGTTCATGTCACCTAATGTGACTAGCCTGTCCTGGCTTTTAGTGCCAGCCGCACTGATGCCCCTTGGCCCTCTGGGGTTATCTTATGATCTTGGGCTTAGTCTGTCATCACCAGCAATGAACGTGGCTTTTGATTTCCTAGACTTCACCTACATTTTGCCAAGAAGGACACTTAATGTTCTTGGTTGGGTAAGAGCCCCAGGTATCCTGGAGGTACCCACAGTTGGTCACTGAGTCTCGTGTTTGTTAGTTACTCTCTGGGGCAGGAATCATCTGGCACCCTGGAAGGTAGCTTTTTAGCTGTTGAAGGATGGCGTTTTCCTGCCGGTCATGCATTTGTTTCTCTGGTTGAGTCCTCGGGCATTGAAATGGAAGTGGTCTTCCTTGCTGCCTGCCTGCCTGCCCGCCTTATACCTTAGGGAAGAAAGGTCTTGTTTCCTCTTGCTAGGTGGGTTTTTCTGTAGGTCACAAATTACCTCTGGGAGAGCCCCTTCCTATTTGGGGGCTGAGCTCTGTGCTGCCTGTGCAAGGCTATCTCATAGTGGCTGCTCCTGGGCCTCACTGCAGGGTTGAGGACATGCCCCTCCCAGAGGCCTGCGTGCAGCCATGGCCTATGCAGCCTGCCAAAATATTCATGATAAATGTCTGTGTCCTCACCTGGAACCCTGATTAAGGTGGCATGGCTAGAGGAGGGATATTACCTCCCCTGCCAGGGGCCCTTTCTATTTTTAGGTATCCCCCACCACACACACACACACACACACACTGAAACAATGCTATGCCTTGAAGAGTGAATAAAAGAAGGATCATTTTTATACCTGTGTGATTCTTGCTGGCAGAAAATGGTCTTAATACCTTCACAGGTGGCTGCTTGAAGCTTCACAAGTCTTGTAGCTGGCTTGATGTGGAGGCTTGAGGTCATCATGGAGATGGTCAGATTCCATTTTCAAAAGTCCTTTCAGGAGCCGGGCGGTGGTGGCACGTACCTTTAATGCCAGCACTCGGGAGGCAGAGGCAGGTGCATCTCTGAGTTTGAGGCCAGCCGGGTCTACAGAGCTAGTTCCAGAACAGCCAAGGCTACACTGAGAAACCCTGTCTCAAAAAACCCCAACAACAAAAAAGTCTTCAGGCTGAAGAGATGGCTCAGCAAGTGCACTTTTATCCCCTACTCACCAGGGCTGAGACGTGCTGTCTGCACTATGGGAAAAGAGCTGTTGGGTCCCAGCCTGAGAGACCCTCGTGTTTGTGGCCTCAGTAACAACTGAGCATCCACTTGATATACAGCTGCCTTGCTCAAGTACCAACCACTCAAGGGACACTGTTCAGTCTTTGGTTCAGACCATCCCTGCTTCAACTTAGCCTTCAGTCATGGTTTTATCTGGCCTTGAACTCATGCTATATCCAGTTGCAGATTTCCAGGTCTGAGAGAGATCTGGGTCATAAGTATGCCCCAGTGTCCCATTCTTTGGAGACAGTGTGGACAAAGAGGGGGAAGAGAGCTGCCTCACTCCTCAGGTCTCTAAAATAAGCCTTCAATTCCATGCATAGCCTTTGACACTTGTACTTCTGTTTGTTTTCCAATTCAGGCATCTCCCTGCTTCTGCCTCTCAGATCCATAACGCGCGTGCCACCACTGCCCAGCAACGTTTGCACTTTGAATGCTACAGTTTTCCTTTATAATCATGTACATGTCTTTAAGAACAGCCTTTATTTGATGAGTCAGCCAGTTGCAGCAGAAAATGCCTGGCAACACAAGCCACTCTAGTGACAAATTCCTTGACACTGCTTGACAAACTCCAGGGCAAGTCTTTTTAGTTCACTAAGGCTGGGCCTTAGTGGGTGGATGCCCAATGCCCAGGCTTTTTCCAAATTTGGATTGCAGGCAGTTAGTACCACCCTCCAGTGTGGAAGCTGGCATTTGAGGTAGGGTTATTTGGCCTCAGTAACAACTGAGGGATTGACCTGTCTCTTGGTGGTAGGAAGTGGGTGTCCCAATTTGCCAGAGCTGTTACGAAGAGTGAGAGAGAATCTTTCAGGGCACCTTGGGGTCCTGAGCCTGTGAACTCTGTGGTACAAATATACAGTGTCCCTAAGTGTTGAAGTTTGGTCCATGGTGGCTGATTCTGTCAAGCTCAAAAGAAAATTTCTCTATTAACAGGAGTGGGCAGGGGCTGGGGCACAGCTTGGTGGCAGAGCCTGTGTTTAGCATGAGGTCAGCACAGATTAAAGGCAGTGGAGCTCAGCAGTGGAGGACCTGCTCACCACACAAAACCAACAAAGGATCTGCAGGCACTGAGGCAGACATGATTTGTCTGCCAGACTCTCTAGGATTGAAGGGGCCTATTTGGCATCTGCCTTTAGAGTTGTTTTCAAAGATGGGATTCACAGCTGTGGTGGTTAGTTTTTTTTGCCAAGTTGGAACAGCTAGGGTCACCCAGGATGAAGAAACCTCAATTGAGAAAATATCTCATCAGACCGGCCTATAGGCAAGGTTATGAGACATTCTCTTGGTTAATAATTGATGTGGGAGGGTTCAGTTCATGGTGGGCAGTGCCAGTCCTGGGCAGGTGGTCCCTAGTTGTACAAGAAAACAGAACTGAGCAAGCCATGGGGAGCAAGCAGTGTTCCTCCATGTTCTCTTAAAAGCAGAAAGGTGGGGGGGGGGGGAGAAAGAGAGAGAGAGAGAGAGAGAGACAAGAGAGATGAGACCTATGAGCACACACTGGACAGGGTGAGTGGGTGTACAGCTGTGGGGTCGTGGCCGCTCTCAAGTTACAACTCTAACCCTACTGAGAAGGATGTCCCTCCCCAGTTCTGATATTGCTCAGTGTGGCCTTGGTGCTCATTATAGCAGCGCATACACTAAACAAAGATTAGCATGGCCCTTGCACAAGAATGACATGAACATTCTTTTTTTTTTTTTTTTGATCTCTTGGGTTACACTCATGTCTGTAAACTCATTTGTGATAGTTTTAGGGAAGGTTTCTGAGGGTGCTGCTGGGGTTTAGAGAACAGGTTGTGCCTGAGACTCAATGGGATACATGACCCTAAGTGAAGACAAGCCTGCTTACTGCCCTGAGTGTCTTCTGAGTACACACCTTGCCTCCACGAGCAATTTTGGTTTTATCAGTGCTGTCTGAAATAGTTCAGCTGCATCAGCAGGGCCTGCAAGCCTGAAGCGCCTCCTTCCTTTCCGCCTCAAGGTGACGGTAGCAGCACCCCAGACCCTGTGGCCAGCAGAGCAGGTATAGTGGTGCATGCCTGAGGCAGGAGGATCAGGGTTCAGGATCATGTTACTGCATACATACTAGCATGGCTGTAAGATCATGAAAAAAAGGGGTGGGAGAACAGTAACTTCATGTTGTTCATGTGCAGACACTACAAACCTTTAAAGTTAGCTAAAGGTTTTAACATTTCATTGCTATACAAACATCCAAAATGACTGAGATGGCCACCCAGATAGCAGTGATGAATGTCACGGCAGCACGGCTCACAAGCATGTGACACAGCAGTCCCTCTCATTCGATTCGGTGCCCCGCAATCTACTGGGGGCACAAAAGGGAGCCGTCACTTTCCATTTCATCACCATCAGCTACTCATCTTCACTATGCTTCCATTGTATGCTGCTGTGAAAAACATACATGCCAACTAGGGCTTCCTGCTACTTCAGGATGTGGGAGGAGATGGCCCTACATATGAGCAGGACTACTGCCATACCAAACGGAGCTTACTCAGACATAAAGATGAAGTATGGGGGCTGGAGAGATGAAGTGTCAGTTCGGAACGCTTGTCCTAGAGGTCTAGAGTTTGGTTCTTTTTTTTTTTTTAATATTTATTTATTTATTATGTATACAATATTCTGTGTTTATGTCTGCAGGCCAGAAGGGGGCACCAGACCCCATTACAGATGGTTGTGAGCCACCATGTGGTTGCTGGGAATTGAACTCAGGACCTTTGGAAGAGCAGGCAATGCTCTTAACCTCTGAGCCATCTCTCCAGCCCTAGAGTTTGGTTCTGATCACGGCATGTGTGGCTTAACAACTGCTTGTAACTCCAGCTCTAGGGACTCGAGGGCCTCTTCTGGCCTTGGTCGGTACCTGCACACATGTGGCATACGTTCCAACACACATAATAAAAATAAATCTTAAAAAAAATGAAGCAATGCTGGGCAGTGGTGGCACACACCTTTAATCCCAGCAATCGGGAGGCAGAGGTACAGTCTCAACAAATCCTGTGAACGTTATGCTAAAGGAAAGAAGCCAGGCACAGAAGGCACATGAGGTTCTTATGTGAAGTGATCAAACAGGTCAGCCCGGCAGGGACAGATGCTAAATGCAGGCTGCAAACTGTCCTCACTGAGCAAGTCCCTCACTGTTGAAAGCCTGCTGTTGGTCAGGCTGAGAGACTGGTCTAAGTGAAGGCTACTGTTCAGACCTGAAAACTCTACTTGCTTCATGAACTAGCAACTCGAGCAATCCACATTTCACTTTTCAACTGTAGGAGAAGCTAGCACAGCTCTTCTAGAAGTTTATGAGGGGGAAAAAGTACACGGCCTCTTCTGGAAAGTATGAAGGAAGAAAGTCAGTGTCTCAATCTGCCATCTTCAAGGGACAAGCCACAGCAGGGAAGAACTGGGACAAGAGGGTGCTGAGATGGGTGGAGTCCCAGGAAGAAGCCCCCATGGCCTTCACTGGCTCTTGCTGGCATCCCTAGACCGCACACCATCAGAAAAAGTAGATGAAGTATTTTATTAAGGCACATGAGCAATGAGTGTCCTAGATGGAGCAGGAACGGTAGCTTCTGCAGATACATTAGGAGAGCTCCTTCTCAGACAGCTGCACAGAGCCTGTGTTGGCTGGAAGCACTACCCGCTTCTCACTTGGCAGACAGCAGCCACAGTCAGGGCTCGGATGTCAACAAGGTCAGTTTCTGCTTACACAATGACTGACCATCTTCTCACGTTTCAGCAGTGCAGCAGCTGGAGTCACTCCTAAGCAGAGCTGGATGGACTCCTCAACAAAGGAAGGTCAGCCCCCAAACCCAGCACATCCCTAGGTTTTCAGACACCGGATGGCCACCTGGTCCCAGTTAGCTCATTTCCTGGTCTAGGCAACGTCCTCTACCTTGCCTGCCCTCATCTGTTCTGAGGACAAAAAGGGCGGGTGTGTCCAGGCTGGTGGCAAAGGCTACATTTCCGGGGCTTTTTTGCTGTAGATCCTGCATCTGAGGAACCAGCTCTTAGTCTTTTGCTTGCAGCCTCTGGTCTCTGGGCTTTTCCTCTGCCTCCTGGCCATGGTGGGGCTGTAAAGTTCCCTGTGGGAGGAGACAGGAAAAAGCTGAATTCACAAATGATACCCTCAGGTAGCAAGAACAGACTCACTCCAAGTTGTGGTGGTATAGACCTGTAATCCTAGTACCTGAGAGGCAGGTCAAGGGCTGCTTGGCCTACATAAGCCCGTCTCTGAAACAAAACCCAAACCAAGGGACAGTGTTGGGCAGAGGTGGCATCCCTCTAACAAGTCAGCTGAACCCATGTGTTAGACTCCCTTTGCTCTGTGAAGGTCAGCTCCATGTCAAGAATATGGTATATCCTACCCTGTTACCTCCTTTCTTTTTCTTTTTTAATTATTTTACTTTACCCATCTTTAATCCCAGCATTCAGGAGGCAGAGGTAGGAGGATCTCTGTGCTATGAGTTCAAGACCAGCCTGGTCTACAAAGTGAGTTCCAGGACAGCCAAGGCTGTTACATCAAGAAACCCTGTCTCAAAGAAAAAAAATAAAACAAAAACAAAACACACAAAAAAGATCCCCCTA